AGTGGACATGCGCCAGACGCGTATTTTTCTGTGTTTATCTAAATATTCTTTCAAACAAGTTCCGCGCACGACGGATGGTTGATGGTTGGTTGGTTGGATGGATGAATATGCGTGGAAAACATGCGACTACAAGACTGTGAAGTGAGCGATCAATTTGGAGGCTATTTAAGCGGGTCCATCCTGTTGGAAAATCAAGAAAAACTAGACATTAATAAAGGGGGTTTTCGCCTAAATTAGGGGATTTAAAATATATTAAATGATTCTAGGAATTCATAATGTTATTTTAGAGAAGGGTTGCGGGTTGGAATATGCGGAATTGTTAATGTTTAGAGCCTTCTAAAGCCAAAAAAATACTCAAATATTGAATTTTAATTTAAACATTAATTTTCCATTCACAAGAAAATTTCAAAAGAGTTTCAAATCTATAACACAATTAGTTCGTATACAAATCAATGACTAAATTTGTTTACATCTCATGTGCGAGGAGAGACTTTCCCAACTTTATCGTATCCGACGGAGCAGCGACTTTCCCAACTTCCTCTGAAGTAGATTTACCCCAAAGTAGAGTGCTAATTGAGGGCTGTTGAACCTTGCACAATATAGTACGAGTATTTTTCATAATTCGAAAGGAGATGTAGCGGCAGGGCACTCCTTCTCCTCCTTCCTTCTCCCCCCAGAAAACAGCTCCATTTATAGCCACAAAATGTGAACTGACTTCGAAGACGACTCCGCTGTAGAGCGTCGTTGCATAATGGCGTGTCCCGTGTCCCGTCTCCGTGTCCGTGCAACCACATCCGCGTCGTCGTAGTCGTAGTCGGAGGCAAAGGCTTCTTCTGGTGTCTAGCCCAATAGCATTTGGCGCGGCGTCTGGGCGGCTAATTAGGATTTAGAAACATCATCAAATTTAGAAATGCAACCGAAAATAAACCCCAAAAAAGAAAACAGAAAACTCTGCTGCGCTGCTGGTGTGTTCGCATCTGCATCTGCTAGCAGGGAGTACGATACGATAATAAATGGAATAAATGCGTGAAAATGCTGCCCCCCAATCCCTCACAGAGTGTACAAAAATAAACACCGAAGCAGTTCGCTTTGTATTGAAGTTTTGGCGAGGCGGCGACGGCGGCGGCGGCCAGCCCGTCGTACAAAATGTTGACCCCAATTTAACGTCAATTTTTGGTTTTAATTTTTTCGCAGAGCCGCCACGAGAATGGCAATGGAGGCGGCGGCGGAGGCGGAGAAGCAGGAGGCAGTTCTCCAACAGCTGTTGGCGGTGGAGAGCTGGATGCAACGGATGTGGCTGATGCTGCTGCCGCCACCGCCACCGCCCAAACGGAGCGGGAGCCAGAGCGTGTGTGGCTGGTCCATCGTGGAGGCTTCACTGCAGCCATTCGCCTGCCACAGCCAACCGTAGGAGGAGCAGCCCACGAGGAGCCCCACAAGCTGCTGGTGCGACTGCTGCACAACGGGGAGCAGCTGACCGTCGACGAGGACGATGTGGAGAAGCAGAATAGCCACGCCCTGGACCTATGCGAGGACATTTGCGAGCTAAAGTATCTGAATGAGGCCTCGGTGCTGCATTGCCTGCGACAGCGGTATGCCAGCAATCTCATCCACACCAAGGCGGGGCCCACGCTGCTCGTGGTCAATCCGATGGCCCCGTTGTCCCTCTACTCCGAGAAGGTAACAACAACTGGTCGCTGAATCGGATTCGGAATCTGAATCTGAATCTGTGTGTGCGATCTGGTTATTTATCTGCTGCTCTCTGTGGCTCTCTCTCTCCCGTAGGTTGTCTCCATGTTCCGCGGCTGCAAGACGGAGGACATGCCGCCCCACGTCTACTCGCTGGCCCAGACCGCCTACAGGAGTCTGGTCGAGACGCGACGCGACCAGAGCCTCATATTCATGGGCCGATCTGGTTCTGGCAAATCCACAAGCTTCAAGCATGCTTTAAACTACTTGGCGTTGGCCGCTGGTATGTGTCGTCGTGTCTGCTGTGTTTGTCTATGTGTCTGTGTCTGTGTCTCTCTGTCTATCTATCGATTGCCACTGCCACTGCAACTGGAACTGCCTTTGGCTGTAGGCTGGCCCAGTTTTTGGGCTGTGTGGCAGCCACAGCCACAGCCAACAGAATGTTCGCTCATTCGTTTTGCTCATTTGCATTGTTGGCCAAGAAAATGCAGCTGCAATTAGTCGCCCAAGCCTACCACCTCCATTTGAGTTTCATTTTGCGCCCCCGAAAGGCGGGGAAATCGCAAATGGAAATGGAAATTGATTTCAAAAGTAACTGTTAGTTAAACGTAGAGTATCGGTAATATTTCCTTACTTCAAAAAGATTTCCAGACCAACTAGAAAACTTTTTTAGTGCAAAAATCAAATTCCGAAATATTATGGCATCTATAGTTTTGAAGATATAAGAAAATCTCAAACGCAGAGCTACAAATAATAATTTTATCTACCAGATTAATCAAAATCGAGGAACCAGGCTCCATTAAAATAACTTTACCTACCGAACTACTGCAAGTCATTACAATCGGATCCTTATTATATCCAGAATTAAGAAAAAATCTAAATTCGTGGTTAACTTATGGACTTCAGGCTTTAGACCCAATATTCAGCTATGACTAGGGGTTTGAATAGAATAAATATTTCTAAAATCCCTAAAAGTAACTATAAAAATCTTTGCTTTTTGCACAGGTGCCTATAACAATTTCATAAATGCCGAAAAGGTGAATGCCCTGTGCACCATACTGGAGGCATTTGGCAATACCAGAACCTGCCTCAATTCGAATGCCACACGCATGACGCAGCTGCTGAGCCTGGACTTTGATCAGACGGGGCAGATAGCATCCGCCTCGCTGCAGGTGAGTGTGGATGGCAAACTGAAACCCACTCTTAGGGACTGCTAATGGTAATCCTCTTACAGGTCCTCCTACCCGAGCGACAGCGAGCTGGGCGACGACTGGCACACGAGCACAGCTTCCATATTATGACACGGCTGCTGGCTGGGGCCGCGGGGCTGCTGCAGAAGGAGCTGCATTTGGAGAACATCACCTCGGAGGATAGCCATCCGTTTATATCGCTCTCCCAGAAGCTGGAGGATCGCCATCGGGCGGCCAATGACTTTATGCGCACGGTGCAGGCCTTCGAGTCGCTCAACATCGATGCGAAGGCGGTGCGTGGCATCTGGAGCATACTGGCGGCCATTTACCATCTGGGTATCGCGGGGGTGACCAAACTGGGAACCGGATCCACGGCCCGTACGCAATTTGCCAATCCCACGGCCGCACGCAAGGCGGCAGGGCTGCTGGGCGTGAACCTCGAGGATTTGTCTGCGGCCGCCTTTGGTCTCACGCAACCGAATGCTCCGAATGGCGGGCTGAGTCCCTCAAAGTCGCCCACATCCGACAACAATGGCCACGAGTGGGCCTGGGAGTGCCTGGAGGCGCTCGTCATTGGCCTCTACTCGGAGGCCCTGGCGGCTGTGGTGGCGCTGATCAATCGCCAGATCTGTACTTCCGCTCACACCATAGCCTCGATCATGCTGATCGATACGCCTGGCTTCCAAAACCCCGCCAGCTGTGGCCAGCAGCTGGGAGCAACGCTGGCCGATCTGCGGCACAACTATCTGCAGGAGCGACTGCAAATGCTCTTCCATCACACCACCCTGGTGGCGCCGCGCGATCGCTATGCCCAGGAGCTGGTGGAGATCGAGGCGGATCAGGCGTCGGAGTGTCATCCGGGTCCATTGATCTCGCTGATCGACAAGGCGCCACAGAATCATGTGGTGCGCTCCTCCCAGCGCGATCTCCGCGAGCACGATCGTCGAGGAATGCTATGGTGAGGATTCTCATGCGTCTTCCTTTGGGTTTTTCCTTTAATTTGGAGTCTTTCCCCTCCCCCAGGCTCCTGGACGAAGAGGCTATTTATCCGAACTCCAACGACGACACATTCCTGGAGCGCCTGTTCTCGCATTACGGCGATCGGGAGCACCACTCGCTGCTGCGCAAGTGCGCTGGTCCCCGCCAGTTCGTCCTGCACCATCTGCAGGGCACGAATCCCGTGCTCTATGCCGTCGATGGATGGGTGCGCAACAGTCGCGAGCATCCGGGCATACGGAATGCAGTGTCCCTGCTGCAGGACAGCAGCCGGGAGGAGATCAATCGCCTGTACATTGGCTCCCTCACGCGTGGCTCCGGTGCCATGGTCTTTTGTGGCTCCTTTGCTGGCCTCGAGGGTACCCAGTCCCTGCGCCGTGTGTCCAGCATTCGGCGCTCCTTCACCACAGCCGGCGTGAAGCGAAATTCCATTATGCTGCAGGTGAAATTCACTGTGGATGGCATCATCGATACCCTGCGTCGCACTGGCACCCACTTTGTGCATTGCTATCTGCTGCAGCACAATGCCGGCAAGCAGGCCAAATACACGGCCAATGGCTCGCCTCACTCTGCCACGGGGCAGACGGCCAGCGAGGAGGAGATGGTGAATGTGCCACTGCTGAGGAGTCAGGTACACAGCAAGAACTATAAGCAATATCCAAGTGGCAGGCATAACCTCTCCTCTCCTTCTTTGTGTGTTTCTCAGCTACGCGGCTCTCAAGTCTTGGAGGCTGCGCGCCTCCATCGTCTGGGCTTCCCCGAATCTGTGCCATTGTTGGAGTTTGTGCGTCGCTTTGGCCTCTTGGCCGGCGAGCTGGCCAACAACAAGGATGTGAGCGTGGAGCAGATACTGGCCATCAACGAGCTGGATGTGGCTAGCTATCGCATAGGTCCTAGTCAGGTGAGTCGTAAATAATGATAGTTTGAGGCTTTATCTTCATGGAGATGGCTATACACATGTTACTCCAGAGCTACTTCTGTGGGAGTACTGCTCCGAGTGGCATCTCAGTGCCGCTCCTCTACGCTTAGGGATAGTACCTCCGCTTGCCAATCTCCCTACTTCTCCCTACGAACTCCATGTTCCTATATATTTGTCACAGCTAATTTCTAAAGCGAAAACTTTGGACTTTAATGGCTCACTTAGCTCTAAACTTAAACATGTAGATAAATCACATTTTTGGCCATTCGGGTCGCCTACTCGAGTCGCCACCCCCGCACGTCTCCCGTCGCCGCAATGGTCGATGCCTTTGGTGGCTGCATGTGCACCATGCCATCATCGTAGCCGTATGGCGCCTGCCTCTGTGTGCTCAGGTAGTAGACACCATTCTTTTGGACAGCTGGCTCACCGCCCATGAACTGATCGCCAGGGCATGTCTGCCGCATGGCTGCGTGTCTGCTGCTGCTGCTGCTGCTGGTGCTGTTGCGGCAGTTGCAGGTGGCCGATCGTATGGCTGCCGCCGAACCGCATCGCAAGGCGGGGAATAATCGTGGACGACGTACCGACTCGGCAAAGTAATACAAGGCCGCGAAATGATCACAAACAAAGTCAAATTCCGTGGCCGTTGCATTGGGACACTGCGGCTGCCCCAAGCCCCAGTTGGTGAAGAAGGAGGCGTGGCTCAGCTGATCGCTCGGGTTACCCAGCAGCGTCAGATCCGTGTGGATGGACTCTACGTACATGGCATCGTTGGGGGACAGTCGCTCGCTCGGTCCGAGTTTCAGTTGCGTGAGACCAGCGGGATCCAAGGCGAAGATGGCGCCCAGACGCTGCGGACGCAGCTGCTTCCCCGCCAGCCCGGAGATGTGACTGCCAGCACTGTGGCCCACCAGGTAGATCTGCTCGTACGGTACGCCCGTGTTGTCGTGCAGGAAGCGCACCATTTTGGCCAGATTGGCGGCAATGGCGGCCAGCTGCTTGGACACTCGCTGGTAGCTAATGTCCATTGACTGGCGGCTCCAATCCAAGATGATTACATTGTAATTTCCGCGCGACAGATAGGCATCCTTGATGGCGGCATTCGAGCAGGAATCACTCCTTCCCCCCCAGCCATGAATGGAAAATCTGTCAAAAAGAATTCGAGATTGTTACAAGAAGGAGAAGGCATTGATTGATGGACGGGATCCCCTTACCTCACAGGCCATTTGGGATTGAAATTGGATTGCTTGAGCGTGCCCAAATCCCCTGGTTTCAGTAGCTGTCGCACCTCGGGATTCAGGGGCGTGTAGAGATCATAGCGGAGTAGCTGCCTCTGCGATAGGCGTGTTCGTGTCCCGAGGAGCAGCCCGAGCTGTGTTTTGATCATCGCATCGATCACTTCTGTGATGGTTATCGCACATTTTCCTGGCTCATAGGCGAACTGCCTGAGGGCACTGACACTGGACACTGGAAAGAGGAAAAAGGAATGGACACAGGTGGAATGACACTCGTAGATCGATCATTGAGATCGCTCTCGGTCAGGGGAACACTCACTTCCCGCTGGGCCACACAGCAGCTGCGATACCACCAATACTAGTATTCGGATTTGCATCTTACGATTGGATTACGATCCGAAAATTGCCACTTAAATAAAACACAACAAAACCAAAATAAAAACCCGATGTCAACGCGAGCGACAATTAAAAGCCACTTAAAGTTAGGGTTTAAGGCTGTGTGTTTTTCGAACTAAATTTGTATCAGACACAAACTGCCGCCGCTCACTAAAAGAACGCGAATAATTTCGGATTTCTGAGCGGAGCTGAGACCTGAGACCTGAGCGGGCACCGTCCGAAGTGTTACAAGCTCTGAGCTAAAGTATGGCAAGATTCTAGATGGAAGCTTGGTTAAATAAAGCCCAGTCGCTCGTTATCGGCCCGTTCTCGGCCCGCTGTCGCTTCTGACGAGACAAGGGCGACGCCGGCCGGCTCGGTCCCCCGGTCACTGTCATGATGAACGACTTGATGATGTTGCCTCACTGCAATTGTGGTAAGTGGCAGTGGCAGTGGCTGGGGCTGGGGCAGGCACTAAACTCGTAAGTGCAGGCAAACACTTGCGGATTCCCCTGATCAATTGATCGATGCCGAATGAAGCCTAACCCGATCAGAAGAGAATCTGGAATCTGGAAATCAATGCAAATTTTGAGGCTTTCTCTTAGGGTTTTGTGTTTTTTTATTTTATTTAAGATATTTATTTATTCATGGGCTACACTACTCGACAAAATTTAACTTTTTATTTACGCTTCCCACCAAACCGAGTTTTTTTTAAATTTAAATCCCCAAATCTATAAAACAGAAGTTGGTTTGGTTCGAAGCGGGTAGTGTTATTTATTAATTTCCCCTTTACAAAAAAAAGTAGCCCAACGACACGCATACGAGTATCTGAGATACAGTTGCTGCCAACGCGTTCATCCATGATGTTTCGGAAGAGTCTTCTTATATAAGATGATCGTTCAGCCTAAGGCGTACATTAATATTGATTGGAAAATTGATCGAAGCGCAAGGGACTTGCGAAACTTTTAAACCAATAAAATAATTAAATAATTGCCCAGAAAAAAAAAACAAACATTAGAGATTGTTACAGATCAAAACATTAAGATTGGAGATCTAATAATACGATCCATGATCCACAATCGTTTTGGTCCAATTGCAAATGCAATTAGAGGTTTCGATAGATGGCTAATGAGGTCTGCAAACAGAAAGCAACGACGAGTCATTGATCTTTCATAGAACGAAGAGACTTTGCGCCATGGATACTCGGAGAGATATGATAAGATACGGAGAGAGATATGGAGACATGTTTGGGGCATTCTCAAATGGGTTATAGGGTTCAGCAGCAGGTATTTTGACAAACCATTTAGCAGGTCTTTAGCTTATGACTTGTCATGATCTCTCGCTCTCTGCCACTGTCTCTCTCTCTCTCTTTCCGTGGAAGAAGAATCATGAATGAGTGCCCGTACTGTGGCATTTTGTACAGATCGTTAAACCCCCTCGTGTCGTTGTGTGTGTGGATTTCGCGCCGAGCTGTTACAAAAAATGTTTATTGACAGGATTTACATACGACTTTTAAAGCAAATACCAAATAATGTGCGCTTATTGTTATCTCTCAAATGAAACGAAACATCATCTGCACTCCGGCGGCGTATGTGTGTTTTATTTGCCTTTAAAATTCGCTGTTACTTTCAATCTAAGCGAGAAATTACCTTGGAATTCCGTTGAATCCGCTTCCCGAGATGTGAATATTGAATTGTTGTTTCCATCCGCAGTTTCCTTTAATTGTCTCTGACATGCCAAGATATCCTTTCATTAAATTGGTTTTTACCCTGCAATTATTACATTAAATGGGAACTCCAATCGGCATCTTTCGATGCGTATCCGAGGCGAGCCTACCAGCCTACAGCCAACAGTCAACACCTGTGATCACATTCGAAGAAACACCACCATCTCGAAAGAGAACTGGTTAGTCATCTTCGGTAATATTTTAAATATTTATTTATTCTTCTGTAAGCATGACTGGGCGCAAGGCAGAGCGCTCTGTTTGTAGGCAAATTTATTTCTTTTCCATCCATCCACAGTCTTGGAAGTAATTTAGTTAGAATTGATTTTTGCCTAATGTATGCATGGGATGGAAAATTAAGAGCAATTCCGAATGTCTCTTGGGGAGTATCTACTACTTCCCTATGCAAAATTCCTGTTTCTGTTTTACGATACACAATATGTGTATACATATTTATTGTTGTTTCAAAACAGAACTGTTTATTCGTGATTGTCGATTGATCGATGTGCAAATTCTCTCGACTGTGTGAATGTGTGAATGTGCTAATCAGATGCATAATTAACAATTTGTTGAACTCGGAGAGATATTCTGGGCAGATATTTTAAGTGTTTGTTATGGTACACGTGACTGTTTCACTTACTAATTAAAATTAAAAAAATAAAAATAAAAGCTGAAATAAGCCAAAATCAATTCACCTTCCTTCCCTGATTATTACCAGCTGCTATGCTGCGCACCGTGAGTGTGTGCTGCGAAGATATCGGTTGCATGCAGCATCACCATTGGGGTTCCACTTGGCTGCTCGCTGGGTGTTTTATTTCCTGTTCTCATCGCCTGCAACTGCAACTGTGAATCGAACTGTGCTTTTGCTTATGCTCTTGCTGCTGCTGCTGCTGGTCAGTGAAGTGATCGTAATAAAGCCACTTGTTGACGTCACTTGCTGCAAGTCCAGTTTCCACCTCTCTCTGTCTCTGTTTCTCTCTGTGTGGCTGTGGCTGTGGCTCTGCGCCTCTGTCTCCGCTATGACGACTTTCACGGTCAAGTTCATCCACGTCGTGCCACGCCACAGTCCATTGTTGCTCGTCTGTGGTATAGAATTCCCCCCAGATGTAATCTGCGATCTCCGATGAGACTGGGAAGATGTCCAGCGCCTCAGTTGGTTTTTACAAATAGAAATCGCCTGACGACGAATCTCTCCCGACGAGATGTGCCCAATGCCGCCTGTGTGCCTCTCGAGCAGCGGCAACGCGAGTGTCCCCCGATTGTCCAGTGATTACCTTTTGGGGATATTCATCCAGACACCACCTGACTACACGATCTTTGGACTCTTGGCCATCGTCTGTTGTGCCGCAGTCTGCCTGATTGCTCGGTCTGTTGTACGTACACGGGAAAGTGTCCAAAATCCGAATCCGAATCCAAAACCAATTCCAAATATCCCCCGATTATGATTACGAACACATACAGCCATGCTGCACAGCCATGCCACACATCGAACTGTGTCTGCGCTGCAGAGAGACTTTCACCAAAAACGAAACAACAAAAAATTATACAAAAATGACGTTGCAACCTGCATTCGCCATAGGCCTCGAGAGTCGCGCAAGTCAGCGCAGTCCGAAGCACAGAAAACCACATTTGACCAATGCACATTAAAATTGTTTCCCCAAAGTGAAATTTTTCAGCGTTCGCTTTCATTAGAAATGCGTCTGAGGCAGAGGCAAAGGCAGTGGCAGAGAGAGGGAGTGCCGTGCCGTGCCGCCTCTCCACGCCTGTCTGTCTGGTTTACCCAACCTGGTTATAACTGGGGGATTATATAATAGGTTTTTGAGGTTTTGAGGCGGGTTCTGTCATCGCTCCATCAATGAAGCGAGATGCAGACAGACAGACAGACAGACAGACGGGGAGAGTGTGGACCAAAGGGAAATGCTTTTTTTAAATTAACTCTGCAAAACAAAAGACCCTCAGAAAAAGCACGAAAACTTCATTAACGCCTCTCTCTCTTATCTGCCTCTCCCTCTCTCTGTGTGTGGAAGGGGGCGCGTCTGTACCGAATAATCGAGGGCTTTACGCATATGTAAACTAGTTTTTAATTATGAAACAATAACCAGGAAGCCAGCAGCAGCGTTACACGAGATGCGTTTTCCGAATGCCTTTCGCAGCTCCACGCAGGGCTCTGTCTGTAATCGCCACTGACGTTTGCTTTTCACTGGAATTACATCAATTTGGTGGCCACAAAGATCCCCCATTGACATCCTTATGGGAGATGGCCCAGCCCAGTCAAGGATAACTGTGGTTGAGCTTTTTAGATGATTTCCTGATCCTGAACAGCAGGGATAACTTATCGGATAATCCCCTTGTTGATGGGGATGATTTCTGTGACAAATATTGATTCTAAAGATTGATAAAATGTTGTTGACATTTATAATAATATATAATCGATAATTTTGAATTGATTTATAGCTATAATTCCCTTTACTTGGCATATGCCCAGCGGGAAATCCCGCGCTGAGGCAAGCGCTTACGTGATGCCTTTTTGGATTACAACTTCCAGATGGCTTGCCTGTGTAAATTCTGATTACTTCGTAGCTTCAATATTGCTCTCTGGGTATGGCTGGATCCATAGTGTTTTGTGTGTTCTTCGTTCTGGTCCTGCCTCAACAATGTTGCTTTCTCTGTATCTTTTCTTATGTTAAAAGCATCTTTTATCTACCCATCAACAGTTCCACAGCTGTAATATATTATAGTATGGGTTCTGGCAGGAGGATGGACTGCACTTCTTCTGTTTGGTGTGGCTTGATTTAACAGAAAGCTGTCAAAAGTATAACTCCCAATTAGAAGTAGAAGTAGTAGAACTCGCTTCTGGGTTAATGACCTTTCAACTGCAGTGGCAGTCACCTCCAGACTGGCGACTCTTGTCATGATTCCCCTCCATGATTGCCACACTCGTTGTTTGTTTGACACTTTTCCAGTGGCATTGCATTGCGTATACGAGTAGATCTGTTTTCTTTTCAAATCTTTTGTGTGCGCTCTTGTTGTCCAAGTCCAATTGCTGACAATGAAAAGGCACAAAAGTGGAAGGCACAAATAAGTAGCCGGCAGGGCCCTCAGAGCGCCCCACAGCCCCCCATTCCATTGCCTCACTTGTTTCACTTTTCTTTGAACGTCACAAAGATGATGATGATGATCATGATGGAATGATAATAATAATAATAATAATAATGATGGTGATGGTAAATGCTAATTATGCTCTCGGCTGGCGTGGATGGACATAAATCGGGCATTGGTTCGCTCGTTCGTTGGCTCGTTCGGTGACCAATTGTTGGCTGTGGCAATTAGCATCATCGAACACGTTGCCAGGTGTTGGTTGGTCCGGTGGTCCGTTGGTCTTTTGGTTGCATTCACCTCTGTACTGTCTTGTGCCCATGGCACTGCCCCTCTACCCCTTTCCCGTGCCCCTTCTCTGCCATCACCAATTACGGTGGCAACCTCAACCTCGAAGAGTCCCCTGCCATGTCCACTGCTTGATAAGCCACTTTCGAATGCATAGCCAGCATTTGGCTCGAGCTCTGGCTCTAGCTCTGGCTGTGGCTCTTGGACTGGGGGCCTCTGACTCGAGCTCTTTGGCCAAAACAAATTCAGTTGCGTCGCCGAGCTCAAAGAGAAAACAACGCCAAGCCACGCCACGCCACACGACAACCGAGATACGAGAGTTACGCGCCTGGTTCCAGCCCCCCCTCCCAAATAGCCCCTCGAGCACATCTTTTGAGCCGCGAAAGTGGAAGGAAAATTGCAATTTATTGCAAAAAAAAAAAAAAAAAAAAAGCAAAAAGTATTATTTTATGCACTTTTACTTGCTGTCGTCTGCTGTCCGCTGATCGCTGATCGCTGGCTTTACATCATCCCCAACTACGGCACGGGTCCCCCGATCCTCGCTCGATGTACAAGCACACGGTCAAGTCGAAGTTGGCTCATGCCCGGAGTCAACCGCCGCCAGCTGCTGCCGACACAACGCTGCCCACATCCTCGAAACATGGCCTGGGTGCTGGGAAGAAGTTCTTCTCCCACATACGCCACAAAATCGAGGATAATCTGAGCCCCAAGCTGGGCGGCAAGCTGTACTACAAAGGCAGCAAGCATACGAGATCGATGAGTGCCCTCAGCCTGCAGGTGGATGGCGGCTGCATCGGCGGCAAGTATACGCCGAAAGCGGTGGCTCCTCCTGCGGCCACGCCCCTGAAGATGGAGCAGGTGTCGCCACAGATGAGCAGCAGCGTCTGCAGCTACGTGGACAGCGATGAGGAGAGTCACCTGAGCCTGAGCCTCAGTCTCACGCAGCAGTCGCTGGAGGATGAGATCTTTGCCGAGCTGGAGAAGGTGGCCCACGACGAGAGTAAGCTGAACGAGGTGCTGCAGAGCTTTGACCAGATCCTTAGTGAATATCCACCAGTGGAGGAGATCAGAGAGACGCCGCCCACGGAGGAGGTGCTGGCTGCCCCGCCAGCAGCGTTCTGCGACCGACAGATGCTGCTCTCGAAATCCCACAGCAGCCTCAGCATGGGCAGGGCCAAGCGGCAGATCTACCAGTCGCCAGAGCTGGCCACTTCCATGCTCTTGAGGCGATCCGATTCCACATCCAACGGCAACTCCAGATACAATTCGCTGAGTGAGCTGAATGGCAGCAGGATTCCCGTTTCGAAGCACTCGAGTTTGAGGAAGAGAAGCGAAAGCTTCTGCCTGGATCAGCCGCTGAATCACAGGAGCAGCAAGCAGCGCACGCGATCGATGCTCACCCTGAATAGTGGCATTACGGGGCGATCCTCAGCTCTAAACACAGGCAGAAACACAGCTGCAGTGGCAGTGGCAGTTCCAGTGAAAGCCAAAGCCAAAGCGTGCTCCGGTGCAGCGCCACTCCCACCAAAGCGAGCCAACTCCACGCTGGAGAAGCGACAGATGCACAGCAGCAGGCCAGGAGGTCCCAGGAGGGCCAACTCCACGCTGAGAGCCACGACCGCGCACAGCGATGAGCTGCTGGTCAAGTGCTTGGCCAAGGGCCATGAGATCCTCCGCCAAGTGGAGAACATCAGTGCCAAGCCGAAGCGAAGCAGCAGCCGTGGGGTCACCAAGGAGCACTCGCAGCTGGCGAGGAACAAGAAGAGGCACCAGCAGAAGCTGCAGTACGCCAACGAGGAGAAGGTGGGCAAGCCCAAGCTGGAATCCTGCAAGATTATACCCCCAAAGCTGGGGGAGACATCCGATAGGAATCAGGAGCTGCTGGTCAAAGTTGTGCAGGCGGTGAACGCCAAAGCCAAGGCAAGGGGAAAGGATTCTCCGCCGCTGAAGAAACCCCTCAAGCAGGAGAAGGAGCAGCAGCAGCAGCAGCAGCAGCTGGAACCCTCCTCCGATTCGGATGATTCGGGCCACATCAGCAACACGGTGCTCTCGACCTCCACTTCCACCTGTAATTCCACGGGCAGCCTCTGCGAATCGGAGGGCGATGAAGCCGAAGAACCATCGGCGGTTAAAAAGTCCAACAAAATCGCCGAACTGCTGCAAAAGTTCGAGGCTGTGGCAGCGGCGGCAGCAGCTGTAAAATCGAATCCGCCTTCTATCCCTGCTCCGGCCATGATTGCCACCAAGGTGGTGGCACAGGTGCAGGCGGTGCGGTGCATCCAAACGCAGGTGGAGATCTATCCCAACTACACGAAAGAGGTAACTATGCGGCTGCACTGACTTGGGCAGTCAGCCCGGCAGATCCCAGCAGATCCCGGCAGCTCCCAGCAGATCCCAGCAGTACCTCCAAGCCTCCACCAGATCCCAACTTAACTCTCAGATGCATCTACTTATTATCTATTATGCTTTGGCTTATCTAACTTTATCTTTTATCCCTAACGTGTGTTGCTGTAAATGGAATAAATATTTATTGTACAAAAACCATTTGGCTATTTTGGGTTTATCTTCTGTCCTCCCCCCCACCGGTGTTTTCTTTGCCTTACTTTATTCTTTCCTTTCCTTTATCTTTCTCTACTTTATCTTACATTTGCGTTCATCGGTTCTGATATTTTGGTTATACATATATCAAATTTTACTTCCAATTGCTTTCATCGTTTATATTTTTGTTTGGCTACATATTTACTGCTAAGCTTTATTTAAGGCACATAAATCGGTTGTTTTCCTGCTATGCTTCCTATATAACTACTGCTAATAACTGCTGTCTCACGAGTGTCGTTTTATTAGCTGAATCTAGTTCGATGGCTGGCTTTAATCGGAATCGAATTTACGATCAATAAATATCGAAATACCTGCCTCCTTGCTTCCATGCTTCCATGCGAAAATACTCGCACACATTTCCATTTCCTCAACTTTCTACGAAATTCGTATCCTATGCGCTGTCATACCTTGATTGGAGTTTATGGATCGTTGAAATGTGACACACCGCACCCTGTATCCAGCGGACGACTGTTGCTGACGATAGTATACCCCCAACAACCATGCCGCACCACCATATGATCCGATGTGACGATGGCTGGCCCAGCCAGCCAGCACACTCCAAAGACCATTTAGTTTGCCATTTCACATAGGTTTACTTTCATTTTTGTCTACGTGCGGGGCATAATTAAAATTTCTTCGCGACATAGAGAGAGGGAGAGGGAGAGACAGGCAGAGAGGCGATACTCATAGTTTCTCGACTAAAGTCGCAAATTCGGGGACAGACAAAATACCTGGAGAAAAGAGACAGCCATAGACTGGGCGGGCCACACCTTGAAGGTGCGTCCGCCAGTCGCTAATTTGTATGGGAACCTGGTGGTAGCGAACACTACAAAATATATCTGGCCCATTAGTACGGCTATATGCATTTGCAACCTGCATGGCATGAACCCCTACCATTAGCAGTGCTCTGGCTTCCCATTGTGTCGCTGTGCTGTTTCTCTTTTGGCTCTTTATGGCAATATCTTGCTTACAATTTCATTTTCATTGCCCTCTTCTCACTTCTCACTTTCACACCTGTCGAGAGCTCCTCTCTGGCATCTCTATCTGTTTTCTGTTTCTGTGTTGTGTTTTTTTGCTGCCACAGGTGTTCAAATTGCTATGGCTCTTACCCCGCGATAACCTCTGGATCTCTCAGTACTTCCCATGCCATCCATTCCAAACATCTGCCTCTGCCTCTGCTCTCTCTGCTCTGCACCTTCATTAGCATTGTCTGCGAGGGGGCCAAAGTCAGGGCCACCTTGACCTTCACTTCCTTGAATTTGATTTGATTTTCTTTTTGTTGTTTTGGTTTTCATTTCGTGCTCTACTCTGAACTCCAAACGATGTTGCACGTGCAAAGTGGTTTGCAGATGGGACCTTATGCGATATATGACAGATAATATGGAATCGAGCTTTTTTGCCTTTGGATTGAATGAATTTTAATTAATTTCCTAAAATTAACAAACGAAACCCCGTTCTTTATTTCAGATCCTCTTCCGCTCTGGAGTTCTCAGCGAATTGGAGGCCAAACGCGATGTCCTGCTCTCGGATCGCATCATTCAGTTGCAGGCCTTTTGTCGCGGCTACTTGGCCCGTAAAAAGATGTCGCAACGAAGAGTTCAGGTAACTTTTAAATCCTACCCTCCTTAGTAGAAAACAACTCAAATATTCCATTTTTCTCTTTAGGAGCTCGCTGTACGCTGCATTCAACGCAATGTCAAGGCTTTCCTGGCCGTACGCGACTGGCCCTGGTGGCGTCTGTTGGTTCGAGTGACGCCTCTGCTCAATGTGCATCGCACTGAGGAGCAGCTAAAGACCGCCAATGAGGAGCTGCTAATGCTGCGCGCCAAGCTGGAGAAGATCGAATGCGATCGCAGCGAGGTCAAGGCGGAGAATCAAAAGCTGGAAGCCAAGGTAAGTGGAAGCACAAAAAGAAGTGTCGCAACTCTGATGGATAGTGTCCTCTGATTTGCTGTCCAATTAAAAAAGCAGCACCACTAAATGACGTGGGACGTGGCGTGACATGACATGTCATCTGTGGCTACACATCTTCTCTCTCTCTGTGGCTTTCGTTTCGACTATTTGGGTCGCCAAAAGATGGTGGAAAGATGGGGAAAATTAATGTTCAATATATAGATTTTCTGTGGCAGATAAAATATCTGAAATATATGGGAAATGTTTCAGAGGAAATTAGGAAAATTTACGCGTAGAGAAGTAATCTTAAAAAAAGATCAATGATAATTTTGATTTTAAAAAAGAAATTAAATATTTCACTTACATTTCTCACTAAAGAAATCTGTGAATATTTTTTTCGTTTCTATAAATTTCAAGATTAATTCCCTGTCTATCCTCCCCGAAAAGAAACCTCCCATCGATCCATAGAGAGCGCTCCAAAGTCTCCCAGGAAACATCTTTAAATGGAATGAAAGAATCTCGCTCTCCCGTCCATTCATTAATAGATTCCATTACAAAGATGTCTATATCGGTTTCGAAAGCAATTCCCCCTGTCGTCTAATCGATCTATAGATACTTATAGTACCCGTTCTGCTGGGTAGATTTTCCATCCCTTTTGTCTTTTGCTTGCTTCTCTTATTGTGAAGGAATCTATAAATAGTCTCGCATTTTGGGCATTGAACAGCAACTGACTCTGAAACTCTTCTTCTGAGAGTCATTCGTGAGTGCCTCTGTGTCGCTGTCTCCGTCTCCGTCTCCGTCTCTGTCTCTGTGGGCTTCTGTGGAGATGGATTTCTGTACCAATGTTTCGCACAGATCGTGCCACCAGAATAGCCCCAAAATGTATTTTTAAATGCTCTAAAAGATCATTAATAATACTCTTGTCGCGCTACAATTGAGCTGCAGCTGGGGGATACTTTCGTATTGGTTCGTATCGGTTGCGTTGCTTGGGTTTGCTTTACACAATTCCCCACTGCACCCACGGCACAAAAACAGAGATTGCCGAAATTATGGGATCATCAACAGTTGGCCGAAAATCGAGTCTGTCTGGCCAAAAGATTATGTGAATCTTTTTCCTCAACGATGTTGCAATTGACTTGGCGGCGTCACAGCGAGAACAATACTCTCTCTCTCTGTCTCTGGTGGTGATTCTGTCTCTCTTTGGCTTGCCAAAAAGCCAAAAGAACCAGCCGGTGCAGAGCTTTTGGCCAGAACGAACCCCGGCAGAAGGCAAGACAGAGCACACGCATCACTTAGTCGCCGAGCAAACGTTGCGCACGCCTGAGGCCCCACCGTGGCGCCGTGTACGTACGGAAGATTCGATACAATCTGAACCGATCTGATACGATCCATCCGTTCCGTGCGTGTGTGAACGAACGGGTGCCAAAAGCCATAACAAAAAAATAAAAAATAAAAACCAACTCGCAGTGAGAAAAAAACAAAGGAAATTCTTGTGTTGTATTTTTTGTTTTTGGCAATTCGATGCGATTGCGAGCGCGTGCTTCACAGCGACCAAAAAATACAACAACAAAAAAATAAAACAAAAATTTCAGGCCCGAAGATAAATTTAAAATTGCATTCAACGGTCTCAAGTTTTTGACAAGCTCCCCCCCCCTAACCATACACACATTAAATACAATATACGAGTATATACCCAAAGAATTCCCCAAAAGAAAACTAAACCGAATTCTACGATTGATATAACGAACCGCGACACAATACGACACGAAAATTTCGAAATTTGCAACGTAAAATTAGATTAAAAATTGGCCAAAAGATAAATTGGACAGCCTTAACCCACTGTGCCCCCCAACCCACACTCTCTGCATCCCCGACTAGCCCAACCCAAGCCCCTCCCTTATTCCTACTCCTAATGCCTCCTCTGTCGCCTGCTAATGAGGCCAATGCTGACATTGCAGCTGCGGCAGACGAGGAAGTAATATATCCAGAGACCCATCATCTCCTGCATCCGGGCCATGAGTCGGCACTAGAGTCGGACAGACTGGAGAAGGAACGTTTCCTCGACAGAGTGCTGGCAGCCATGAATGGAACACGCAGTGGCGGCGGCGGTGGCACTGCCACCATTTCCCACAACAGCAGCAACTCCTCGCTAAACTCCACGCTCAGTGGCTCTGCCCCATTGGCTCCCCGACCCCCGAAACCACCGACCAGCCAGGCACGGAAGCAGCTCCGACTGCTGCCCAAGCAGCGGGAGCAGAGTCCCGTCCTGAGCAATGGCCACACAAGACACAGTGCTAGCAGCACCACCACCAGCCACACCCACAACAATTACACCTCCTCGAAGCGTGACAGCAGCTCGTCGCTTTCAACGTCCTTGCTGGGTAAGGACTCAAACCGAAGGCAGGAGGACAGTGAAAGCCACTACGAGATCTCGCTGAAACTGCCTTTCAACCACTCCCCCACAGCATCAGCACAGGATCGTCATCAGCAGGAGAGGGAACGGGATCGTGGGCGACTGGTGAACCGTTCGCCGAGTCCCGCTTATTCGGTCTCCTCGCGCTGCTCCACCATCTCCTCCTCCGTGTCCAATTACTCCCGCCTGCAGACGCCTCCCAGGCGCGTCTTTCCCCAAAGCTACACCAGGGACAGAACTGGTGGCGTGGATCCCTACGAGATGCGGCAGCTGGAGAGCTCCCCCGTGGTCTTTGACGGCAATCTGTCGTTTGTGCTCGGCTGCCAGCGACAGCCCGTGCATCAGTCGATGCGGGCCTCGCCCTCGTTTGAGGATCCGCGCACCTCATCCGCGTATTTGAGCGAGAAGATCCAGAACTTCCTGAAGCGCACCGATCACGTGCAGGAGGAGTGGACGGCCATGGGCAGGAGGACGCGCCGGACAACCACCACCACCACCAGCAGGAGCAGCCGTGGCGAAGGCGCGGACAGTCGCTGCACCACTCCGGGCAGCACTTGCTCCGGCTACGATGACTACGATACCATCTCGCTGATTGAGCGGC